CGGCCAAATTGCCCACGGCTGCGGCCGCGGGTGTCACATAGGGGACAGGTGAGCATCGGGAATCGTCGCTGATTAATATGTATACCCTCTCAGGGCCTTTCTCCCCTCTCCTGCGAGTGCCACATGTCGGTTTGTCCTGCGCCATCAGGCTGAGTGCCTGGAACCTGAGACAGTAAGCGCATGCGCCTAAGCGCGTCGCCCTCTCTCTTTGCTTCCTAGCCATCGCCGTTTTGCCTCGGTGACGATTCTATGATCAACGATGCTTTGTCCCTGAATTTTCATTTTAGATTAATTGGGAGGGAGTGGGGCGAAACTCATTGAGACTTGTATGGAGTCAAGATTTACTACGTTAAAAGTGGGCACGGGTAACTGTCCGTGCTCAACCCTCTCGTCGATCTGCCATAACGCCCTCCCGCCCTTCCCGATCGCAAACGAAGATAGAGTGTACTTCAATGCAGATGTGCAAAGCGCGTTGTTGCGGACTGACCAGGTCTATGTATACAACCCGTCCAAGGCTTGCCACATACGGGGGAGTGGGTTTGTTCTGATTGATCGGTTTTCCTCCCCCCGCTTGATCTTCCCTTACACTAATTTGACGGTGCTACCTTGGTCGGCAGGCCACGCTACGTGGCGGCCCCTGTTTAACTGTTAGTGGTGTCGGCGGGGAGACTTGTGTTCCTGGCGATGGCTGGCGCTGGGGGACGAGGGCCTGGCCCGGCTCCCAGAACTCTTCTGTAGTTCGGGCGCCCTACCGGCGAGCTTTCGAGCCTAGGTTCCCCCGACCCGGCCCCAATTGGACGACGATGCTCCGAGCCGATCGCGCAGGTTAGATGAATCCGACTCGGAAGCTTAGAGGCTCCTCATCTCTGGGGTTCTTGCAATAGAATTGGTGTGAACCTAGCTCCAGAGAAGCAGTAGATCCCCCGTCTTCCCTTTTCTTTTCTTTTCCTATTGACAAATGACACCCTAGTCGCGCATCGCTCCTTAGCCACAATATGGCACACATACCCAACACGTCCGCCTTGTTTACCCTTCTGATCCTCCTGTATTCCCCATTGAGAGATGATTGAGGCCCTCGTGGCATTAATTTCTGGGATAACCACGTCTTGTGAGCGAGATCATTTCCTCCTCTATACATTTGCATCCTTGTTGTGTCTTCGTTTTCTCGTCCGGGGAGTCAGAGCTATGGACACTCGTCGGCTTTGAACATTCCTCAGAGTTTGCACTTACACCTCCCGATTCGTCTTCCGCGGGAGTGCCTTTAAGAGAGTGCGTAGACTGTCCACGACCCGTCCCTGCTCGTGTTTTACTGCCACCCCGCCCAGTCACCTCTTTAACAACCTCTCCCTCGCCGCATTCCTTCTCAGTGTGCAGCATCCCCCGAGGTGGAGGCGTACTTAAATCCGAAGCGGCCACCACAGATGCTATCAATTGCCCAGCAGTTCCACCATGGCAAGCCGCCCGCAATGTGCCCACTTCCCGACGACGTTGGAGGAACTGCCTCTCGGACACGTGCGCTGTTCCCGAACAACATCCGCAACATGCGGAGTCGACTTGGCCGCACTAGCAAGTCCCACAGACCCAACGGAGCAGCAACGGTTTATGAATCCCCCCCGGCGGCGGCCATGTGCGGCCGAGGCCACGGCTGCGGCCTAGGCCGTGAACCTGCGGCAATGAAAATAATAATAATAATAATAAATTCAAAAAAATATGGAAAAACAATATGTTATGCAGAAAAATAAACTCAACAACTTCTGCCCGGTGGTCATATCCAAAAACTATACTTAATTTTGAAATTAAAAAACACAAAGTTCATACTTTTTCTTAGTAGAAAAAAAAAAAAGCTTTTGCCTTAGGAAAATTAGTTTCTGAATTTTTAAAATTTAAGGACGAAGTCCAAAAAAAAAACAAATTGTGCAATTTGGATCTCGAAAAGATCTACAACATAATATTTTTTATTTTGTTTTTTTAGATTCGTTTTAAATCTCAAACTATTCCTGAAAGTCGCGGTCGCACCGAACCTCGGCCGGAGGGGAGGCGGCCGTCATCACGGCCGCCCGCCGAGTTTGACCCTGCGGCCATGGCCAGGGGTGATACATAGGCGATGGTCCTCACGACCACCTTGTCTGTGCCGCATCGACATGATGGCATCACCAACGTGGTTGTGACACTCAACCTCACCCCCTGTACTGCTTTCCGGTCGGAGTAATTTGATTCGTGGAAAGGCCCGGGAAAACAACAAAGATGGGGTGTGTCAAGGATTTTTGGAAAAGTTGAGTATGGGGAAATCCTCCGTGTTGGTCTGACTCTAGAAAGAAGAAGGTCCATCACCGCGCGGGTTTAAGAGAGAGAAAGGCGCGCTTGGGGCTCGCGGCTATGGAAAATTCAATCCAAAAAGTATCGCTGAACTTCCCAGCGAGCCGTCGCTCTTCGTTTCACGTGAAAGTGGGCGGGTACACACGTAGTATCCCGTTTTCGGATAAGGTCTCGTCGACGCTCACTACTTAACTCTGAATCCGACGTGGAGGGCCTCAATCGAGTGACTCTCTCCTTGTGCTCGTCCTCGCCACGTGTGTGGTAGTGGAAACCCTTGGCTTGGTAACGCTCGAAGTGGCGACAATCGCCGCACAGAGTGTTAGGCCAATGGGGCGCCATTGAAGACCACGGGATGACGATCAATTCATTGAATGACAACAACAATGAATAGGGCGGAAAGTGCGTATCAACAATAACCAAACCTACACCAACAAATCCGGAACACGGAGTTTCGGGAGGAAAGTAGTAGCGCCCGCCGATCTTACCGAGGCTTCTCGTACATCCCACTCACATACACGTGTCCTTTCCTCGTTGTACGAGAAGGGGCGCGGCGGGGATACGGGAAGTCGAAGCCTGGTCGGGTTCGGGCCATCTGTCCACATGGCAACAAAGGCACGCACAAAGATATTTCCTAATCATACATCATTCATTCGACACTCTAAGCAGCCAGATCATTCAGTCGATCAGCCAATCATCATCCCAGTCATGCTACAATAACGCTCTCAGATACGACCGACTGCATGCACATATCAAAGTGAGAGAAGCAAAGTTACCGTAACTCATCCATTATAACAAAACATAACAGAAGGAGAAAGTGAGGGAGAATAGACGCAGATCAGAGGGGAGAAAATAGTAGAAAGCAATCATAGAAAGTCCGATGATCTTATCAAAGGAAATTCCGGCTTAAAAGCCGAGTGAACAGAACTCACGCTCGAAGATACAGACTTTGGGACAAAAAGAGGCGCTTCCGCCATAAAATTCCACCATAGCCTTATGTCATGCATTCACTCAACTTCCGATTCGAACCTCTCGCAGGCACTGACGGTCCCTGCCGTCATTTGCCACTCCACCATAACGATTGTCACACCGCCGACTTAGTCTTTGCACGGTCTTTGCCCGGATCCCACAGTCCGTTGGGCGATCCAGCGCACAGCCGACAAGACTACAGTCAACCCATCAGGACTCTTCGACTCACCCTTTACACATACCCTCTAGCCACTGCTTCCTGGAAGTTGGCAGACAAGTTGAGAGATTGAGTTTCAGGGGCGCTTGCGGAGTTTATAGTTGCAGAGAAGGAGGTAGAAGCTAGGAAGGATTAAGACTGAGGTAGGGAGGGGTAGAGGGCTATGTGTCCTTTCAACGGGCAACGGGAATTTTTGAACTCTGTTGTACCCGTTGTACCCCCCGGGGGGTCCCATTGAATTCTCGTTGAACGGAACAACGGGGCTTCCCGTTGAAACCCGAACAACGGGTCTGTCGCAAACGGCCGCGGACACGTGCCCAAGCCCGGGGGGGCGAAAAGAACAGGACCCCCCCCGTTGTATCCCCGTTGTACCCGTTGTACCCCCGTTGAACACCCGTTGAATACATTCAACGACGTTGAATCCCCGTTGAATATCCGTTGAATGCCAGCGTGCTCCATGTGACGGACGATCAACATGACGCGGGCTCAGGGCTGCGGGAACAACGCAGTGCAAGCTGGCGACAAAAAAAAAGAAATTGCTAAGAAAAGGGCCCTTTCCGATGCCTTGGACCCCGGAACCCCACCGCAAGCCCCCACCGCTTCGCAGCCTCTACCCCAGCAAACACACCCCACAACCTTGGACGCCCAGGGACAGACACGGTGACACCCCTGCTCTCTTGAACTGCCGAAAAACCCCCACGCACCCTCCACGTACCACCGCCAACCCCCAAGCGGCCAAGCCCGCCTCCGCCCCCCCCCACACACACCCACCCAATCTTTATTTTGTTTTTTTTTTCCCTTTTTCTTTTGTTTTGTGGTTTGGTTATTTTGTTATTGTTGTTTTGATTTAGTGATAAAGTGATTGTTGGGAGGGGGTGGCCACACACATGCACACCCACCCACACACACACACACACACATACACACACACACACACACACACACACACACACAGTGTGACACACACACACAGTGTGACACACACACACACACACACACACACACACACAGAGGCACAAAAGAGTAAACGCACAGAAGAACATGGAAGCACAATGAAAACAAAGCAGTCATGAAATCTCATCCAAAAGACTGAACAGTCATTGCCGAGATCGCATATAGAAGCCGAATATGAAATACATGTCGCGTGGTACGAGGTTCATCGAGCGACGTCGACACTCCGTCACACTCGTACCGAGTCATAAGGACTCGTATAGCCAAGGGCCGCTGCCTACATCGCTAACTGACATATCCAGAAAGAAAACCAAAAAAAACATCTACGTAATACGACGAGTCGCAATAAAGTCCCACCTAGAACAGAAACCCAAGATCAACACAAAAAAATGACACGCCGTACATGAACCAAAAACGTAAAACAAAAATGAACTCTCGACGTCACTACCTCAATCTACCTGCATACTAATATCCATGAACTGGTCCTGAGTGCTTGAGACCTAACTGTATGTACATCATCCTAAACAATATACAGAATGGTCGAGAGACAGAGATGGATAAATGACATATCTGCGAGATGGAAGGGGAACGAAGTTGTCAAGACCATCGACCTCGCTTCCCCTTACCGCTGCCTCTCCGCCTCTCGTGACCCGGGCTGCCTGTCTGTGACACACCTCGTCGGCTCGCCTCGGTCGCAGTGGATGGTCCTCGACTCCTCGTGTGGCGTCTCGTCTCACGGAACTCCTCCTGCCGTCTACCAGAACCACGTCGTGGTCGAGGGGAGGGCTCATCGTCGTCGTCGTCGTCGTCCTCCTCCTCGTAGTCTCTCTCCTCCTCCCGACTCTCGTCGTCCTCTCTGTACTCGTCATCCTCAGGCGGGTCCTCGTCACATGCCGGCTCCGTCTCAGGATCGTCCTCCTCTACTATGACATGGTCATCCCCCCTCCTCACCTGAACAAGCCTAGTACTCGCCCGAGTGACAACCTCGACAATCTTATCACGACGAGAACCCCGCGGCATCCCCAACCCCTCAGCTCCTGAAGACTCCCCCAATGCAGCACAACCCGCTGCAGGCACGGGACGCGGACGAGAGTCGCGATATGCTGCACTCCTACGGCACAACCCGCTGCAGGCACGGGACGCGGACGAGAGTCACGTGCTGCTGCTGCCAAAGCGTGCTGTAAGGTGGACTCGGCCTCTACACCCCACGAACAGGTCGCGGCTGAGAAACTGCCGCCATGACCTCTCGAGCTGCACCCCTCCCAGTGCCACCCCCACCCAAACCTGGCTAGAGTGGTGAAGTGTGCACTGTTACCCGGCGAGTCGAGTCCAGGTCGATATCTGTCCTCCCAAATAATGTCGTGTCAAAAGGGAGGTTCCCTAGGGCCTACGCCTGTGGTGTCACGGACCCTGGGTCTGCCAGGCGTGGATGGTGAGTGGAGGTGTGCACGCGCTGGTGTCGAGGGTGAATCAGCGTGACGTGATATCGGAGGCTGGTCTCCGTAAGTATGTGTCCTCCTGTCGTGTGACATTATGCACAACAGCCCGTGCGAGCTTTGCCGCATGAAATGGGCAAGCAGTATCCTCAGGAGCTCGCCGCCCACTAACGGAAGTCTGAAGCGGTGGATCTGATCCTAAATCCACCACTACGACCGGTGGTACCTCGTCAGGTGCCACCTCCTCAGAACCTAAGCCCTGCACACATGGTCGAACTGGTCGCGTCGTCGTCGTCAGCTGCATGCCCGTGAACTGTACCAACGGACCGCTATCTCTCGGGATCTCTGCAACGGCTGCATCGTAATGCTCCTCCAGAGGGTGCTCTCGTGCCTCCTCGTACCCCTGCTGAAGCATGTCCGGTGTACGAGTCCTGGAGGCTCCTGCGAATGCCTGCTCGATCTCCTCTGCGGAGTGACCAGCGGCCACTAGGGCACGCGCTATATCCTCTATCTCTGCGTTACGACTCTGACGAGGGGTGGGAGGATCCCCGAAAGACATCTGTGCAAAATCCCGCATCTCATCGCCAACCGCCGCGCTCTCTCCTGATGGCGACGCCCCCAGTGCCCTCATTGTGCCCGGGGTCAAACCCGATAGTGCGGGACCCACCTCGTCAGCGATGAAACGCTCAACAATCGGGTCAAGGGTGTCGCTGCCCTCTCCTCTGTCATGGGCGACGTCACCCTCTACCACGTTGTCCTCTCCCTCAACCAGCGCAGTACCATCTGCCCTGACCAAGTCCTCCTCTCACCCTGCGCAGCATCGGAAGGCACTGCCACGCCCTCCTCTCTCCCAACCTGAGGAGTCACGACGTCCTCCTCTCTCTCTACCTGCGCACGATCATCCACCTCCACTCCCACCTCCCTCTCAACCTGCGTACGATCATCCACCTCCACTTTCGCCTCCCTCTCTAACTGCGCACGATCATCCACCTCCACTCCCGCCTCCCTCTCAACCTGTGCACCATCATCCACCTCCACTCCCGCCTCCCTCTCAACCTGCGCAC